CTCCAATGATGTTGTGGCACATGGCACCTCGAAACAACTACATGACACCCGAAACCACTTTGGCAACAACTTGCCTTAGCCAAGTTGATTGTGTCCCACCTGGCGGCCCAGGCGCGACCTGGCCCTAGCGCAAGCTGGCAGCCTGGCACAGGCATGACCTGGCAGCCTAGCACAAGCATCGACCTGGCAGCCTGGCACARGCGTGACCTGGCGACTTGCAAGACGTTCTCGCCGACGAATTCGACATGCATATCCAAACACTCCCACGATCCTTGGAAGTTGGCCCACGTGCCGAACGATCTGGAGGGTGGTCAACGTGCATGGCGGTTACCTCTAGGAATCTGGAACCAGTTAGACACGACCTCCCAGAGATCTCGGGGGCGGTACATGAGCAAGGCCTATATAAAGGCACCAACCCCAATGACAAGGGACAAGCAAGCAAGTAAGCAAGTTCTAGCTCTCAGACTTTGTGATTTTTAGCTCGCAGTCTACTATGAGAGTACTGACTTAAGCATCGGAGCGACATTGCCGGGTTAGCCACCCCGGGTCCTCTGACATTTGGTTCCTTGCAGGTCTCTAAAGAGCAACGAAGTTCATCAATTCATCTCACCACCAAGAAGCTCGGCACCTGGTCAGCCCATTACCTCGCAGGCAGCTCGGCACCTCACAGGCAGCCCTGCACCTAGTCAGCCCAGTGCCTCACAGGCAACTCGGCACCTAGGCAGCTCCACTTCGGCCTCTGAGCCATCGGCCACTTGGAAGCAGACCAAATGACGAGGTACTTAACCAAAAAATCAATACATTAGCCAAAAATTGATTCATCAATAGAGATTATAAAAAGTGAAGAGTGCAATACAATGGACTATGTAAATCCAAGTGCTCAAAGTGGTGAGTTCTATCCAAAAACTTATTGTGAAATCTTAAAGCTTAACATGGCTAAGTCAAGCAACTCAAGTAAGGCGAGGATAGATCTGGGTAGCCTATTCCTCAAGGAAGCTGAAAGAAATAAGGTAGAAGATAAGATTAACAAGTAATCAATAAAGACTCATGCAAAAGGGTTGAGAGCATGAATTTGGACCTCTTAAGCGAAAAGGAGGATGAGAATGAAGAGAACACTGAATGGGAATGTTGCATGCATGCTAAAGTTCTGGGAGAGCCAGTATCAGTGGAAGCCATAACAACCAAAGTAACCACATTGTGGAAGCTACAAAAATGGGTGGACATCCAATCCAAAGTATAGGTAATGGATTCTTCCTCACCACCTTGGTTTATTATAATTACCTAGTTCTTATGAAATGGAGAATGGGGTTCAACCTCCTCACAGTTATTATAGATGAAGCCAACATTTGGGTGTACCTATTGGGACTCCCTATGGAATGTTGGACAAAGAAACATCTGAGTAATGTAGTTAGACAAGTGGGTCCAGTTGTAAAATTGGATAAAATAATGAGAAGAAATTTCGAACTCTATTTCCTAGAGTTTGGGTAACGTTAATCTTAGGAGGCCGTTAGTCCTTGAGATTCTTGCTACTATAGGGGCCGTTAGTCCTATAACTACCCTAAGATTATAGGGGATGGTGGGACCGAGGCAAAAAATATGTAAGAAATTCTCAACAAAAAGACCGAAATTTGGAAGAAATGTAGACACCCGAATCAATAGTAAATGCCATAAAGCTTCATGGTTCAATGGAACAAAGAATAATATAGTTTCCAAAGCCAAAGCTTTATCCAAAATCTAAATGATTAGGCATGGTTGTACATTGTTGGTGCCCATTCAAAATGAGCTCCTATGGGTTAAAAAAAACTACAAGCAACCACTCAGCTAGTTGCTCTGCCCCCAGTCTCGATAACTCAGGAAAGGCAGAATGACAATGAAGAAGATGAGGAATTGGAGGATATTGAGGGTGAAGATGATGATCTAGACATGGACCATGACGCTAATGCAATCACGATGGACAAACTATCAGAAATACAGGAAGATGAGTAAAACAAAATAGATGCTCTTGTTTCTACATTCCCGCGAGCCTCTGCATTAGATAGTTGTGACAAAGGAAAAAAGAAATTACACCCAACGGAGGAAATGTGTCCAACTGATTTCTCCAACAATGGAATCACGAATAAAGATGCTAGCATGGAAGGTCAGGGGTGCTGGGAGAATGACACTCCAACGACAAGTTAGGGACCTAGTTCGATATAATCAAATTGCTATTGCTGCATTACTTGAAACTAGAATTCAGCCTTTTGATGTTAGTAAATTTTCTAGTAAACTATCTTGTGAATAGTGGTTTAATGTAAAGCATGTTGGCTACTCTGGTGGCATATGATTAATGTGGAAAAGCAGTCTTCGTAATGTAGATACCATCTACTCAAATGATAGAATGATCCACCACTTAGTTTATGACTGTGAAGCCCAAAAATTATGGTCATGCACCTGCATTTATGCTCCGCAAAAAAAAGAATGATTAATGTGGAAAAGCAGAAAAAGAAAATTCTTGGCTCTCCACTATCTAATATGATTTTCTGTTTAGGCTTTCAACAAAGCCATTCTATTTTTCCATATAATGGCAGAGGGATTGCTAAGGCCATGGTTACCATGTATTCAGATGGCACAAATATATTATAGTAAGGGAAAATCTATGATACAGAAAGACATGGTACTACAATAGATTTGACAAATGCTACCACATAAAAACAAATATTGGGAATGTTATGAGAATCAAATTGTAACCCCACAAATCCCCTCACATCGGCATACGTACTACTACTTTATGACTCCAAGACTTGTTTGCTTTTCGGTACATTAATTATTGGGATAAATGCAATTATCTAGGTAAGTTTTTTTTTGGGAATCACTTACCAAGGTAACTGCATTTACCCATGTTCTTTTATTTCCCAGGTAAATAATGTAATGACCATTTTAACCATAAAAATTCATTATTAAAAAGAATATTTTTGTCCCATTCAAGTGTTGCCAATTTTCACCCTAGGTGGGAAAGTTATTTACCCACTTAGGAAATGGATATCACTCCCACAAAAATAAACTTTCCCTGGTCCCCACATAAATCTAAAAAAAAAATATGGGGTTCTTGATCAAAGAACCAAACCAACTTTTCCCATCTCAAAATCCAAAAAAACAACACCCCCAAGTCCCACTTTATATTGACCTCAGCTCCAATGGCCCTATCAAGATGTCACTTCATGGATATGTAAAGTTCATGCACTTTGGCGACCTCTTGAATCTTCTTGAATACTACCAGTTAGTATATGTTTCATGACGTTTTAGCATAACATGGGCATTGAAGGCTAGAATAGAGAAAAAGAGAATTGAATACAATGAAGATGCTCCTAATTGGCCAAGAGGTCTACTTTGTAACCACCCAGTCCTGAAGCATATTTGTAAGGTTTTTATGTGATCAATGAAATTATTGTTCGTTGTGCCAAAAAAAAAGAGGGTTGTATAACTCATTTCTTCTGCAAAAAAAAAAAAAAAAAAAAAAAAAAAACCTACACTATTTATCAAGGTTTTAAAAACCACCTGGAAATGGAGTCACTGTAGCCACCGGTTTCTGGATCAACAGTTCAACCATTTGAGTTGAATGGTTTAGATGGTTTGATTAGATTAGGGCAAATGTTTATGTGGTTGTCTTTCTTTTCTGAGGAGAGGCTGAGACATAGGTGGTTGTCAGCTAAGAAAGAAGAAAGAAAGAAAAGAAAAAGGAAGGAGAGAAGAAAAAGAAAAAAGGAAAGAGAGAAAAGAAAGAAAGGAATGAGGGAAGGAGGAGGAGCATTTTGTGTTCACCGTCAGTAACAGCAATGGTGGCGACGGCAACAGAAACGCAACAGCAAGTTGGCACATCCATTCGTATCTCTCTCTCTCTCGTTTTAGATCTCAGATCTGAGACTCTGTTCCAATCTTGCTTCTGTCATCTCTCTCTCTCTCTAAGATCTCGGTGATCTCTGATCTAAGATCCTCTATTTCCTTATTAAATGGCAAACTGTTGTCCGGGTCAAACGGGCCGACAGTTTGATCACCTAAATTCATGGTTCTTTGACCAAATCAACGATTTTTGACCCAGTTAAAACAGGTCAAAGATAAAATAGAACCGATTGCCTAAACGATTCCCGAGCCAAACGGTCTAACTCTCCTGATAAACCACGGTTGGAAAACACTACTATTTATTCATTAAACAAAGACTCGGTTTATACAAAAAGAGATTGGTTTTGCTGGGTGGGTCAATTGGACTATTGGACAGCAAAAGCCTAAAACCCCCCATGAATCTTCCTCGTGGCTGCATGGGTGGGCTGCCTACTAAGCTCCCACTGAAAACCCCAAACATGTAAATAGTTATTGCTTTTGTTATGTTGTAGTTAATTATTGTTAAGATGAAGCTAGTGGCGACTGAAAAGTGTTGGGTTGGGTGTTGCCTTCGACCCCAAGAAAACAAAATTAACTAATAATTTAGAAAAGAGAATCTCTCCTTCTGTTTGTTAATCAATTAATTAATGTGACATCGATATGGAAAAGTTCAACAATTTCTGCAAAATATTTTATCCCTTGAGAGGAGTGATGAAATTTCCACTGAAACTAACCAGTTGTCGTCGTCATACAAATGACGAAAACAATTATACATACAAAACTAAGCTCCATCCCATCGTCGATACTTCCTAAATAGAGCCAGCCAGCCAGCCACACATTATTATAAGCAATTAACAACAAAAATAAAGCGCATGGGTGCTAGGCATAAATAGATATATAATTGGAGAGAGTCCTCCATTCTTTGAATTCTAAGTTCCGTGCCCCAATATATTGCTTATAGAATATTAGACTGAAGCGAACATGGTATATCATGTATTCTAATAAAACAAATATCTGTTAGTTGAGTTCTTTCTTTGATACAACAATAGGTAGATAACATAGTTGCATGCACAAAGTAAGCACAAAGTCAGTGTGCTGACAGTAGTAAACCACCTCCCATGCACCCATCCACTCAATGACTAGTTCAAACACACTTACAAGAGAAGATCTCACGGTTTATTCACTACTCATTATAGTAACGATACATCTCTCTCACTTGGCCATAAACAAATACATACAAATGCTCACCAACCTGAGTTCAAACAACTAGAGAGAAGACCCTTCAACAGAAGAAGAAGAATTAAATGGTATCCTTCTCAAACCCAACTTCACCACAATGATATAAACTTGGCCTATACTGAATACTGTAAGTCTGAAACAATCTTCAGTTCTTCACCTCTCTCTCACTCTCTCTCAATCTGTATGGATTATCATTTGCTAAGAAAACCTTCTTGGCTTTTGATAGGATAGGCACGCCATCCTTATTACTGATCGAAACCAAAAGGACTTCGAATTACAGTATGCAAGGTAAGCTCTGACTGGTCATAGGATAATCAATTCTGCATAAAAATGAAAAACATTTTTATCTTGATTTCAGGGAGATCAATTTAAATTTGTTTAGTTTGTTATGTTACAACTGATAAAAGTTGCAATTTCTGATGCTAAACATCTAAAGCTCATAGAAGAAATAGATACTACACTTTAGAAAGAAGACATATTTTCTTCTTGTATATATGATGTATCTGAAGGAAAAAATCCTGCTCATCAAGGGTATAATTCAGCAAGTACTCAAAGTGGGGTAGAAACCGAGAGTATTGCTGCTTGTATGAAGTAGTCTTCTTCCAAGTCTTCAGACTGGTAATTCTGGAAACTGGAAAATAAAGGAATATGAGTAAGAACATGAACCAGAAATTTGCACATTTCAGCTGCCAGATTGAGAGATCTTTCTAGTTCTATGCAATATAATTATTATTGAATAGTTAGATGAATGTTCTACACATCTCTTAAGGATTCATATTTCTGATCTTCTAGGGCTACATTTAGTTTGATAGAAAATAAGAGAGCAGAAAGTTGAGGGAAATTTCTTGAGAAATTTCAAAAAATTAGTTAAGAAACTTTCCCTCAGCCTTCTATTTCTCTTTTATTTTCTGTCAATCCAAACATAAATTAGTTGTATGCAAGCTATATGCACATGCTATATTCAAATTTTCAAATGGACATCTTTGGTATATGGCCAAGTAATTGATTACTTCATATATAGTAGTAGGGATACCCAGATGGGAGCTATTAACTTTATTTCATTTAGAGATCCATTGATGAAACATTTAACCTAAACAGTAAAGAAGAAACCCGACTCGTCAAGAACGGTAATATGATCATTACGAAATGTATGGGTTCTTAGAAAATCACGTTTCTAGTGGCAGTTCCCAGTAGAAAAATCTTAACAGCTTAAGACAGGCCTACAACTACAATTAATACACGAGTGGTGAACTATTTCAATTTCCAGTTATTTAATAGCTCTTGGAATTGTACAAGARTTTGAAGAGTGTGATTTTATTTGCAACATTCATGTGCTAACTGATATTTAACCTCAGAAGGAATTACAGTAGTGGCAGAAGATCTTGAGAAAGTTCATTCACTCGTTCCGGAAAGTTGCTTCTTTACAATGTTTAGTTGAACATAAAATGGATGTGGAAGAAACATTTTCCAAAAAAGGAGTTTTAATTGTAGGAAAGTTGGTCCTCTCAATTTCTAGATTGTAACACTTGTCTATGTCTCAACTAGACCTGTTCATAGGCTGGGTAGTTCGACAGCTTATAGGCTTGGACATCCAAGCCTGACCCAATAATATTTTATATTATAATATATATAATATTTTTTGTTTATTCTTCTTCTCTTTTCTCAAGCCATATTGAGTTCGTTCTTATAGTGTTTTTTGGTTTTGAGCTTGTTTTTAATACAAACAAATCAGTTTTGTTGTTGAGTAAAAAAAACAAAAATCTTCTTGCCCAATTTCTAGGCCGAGCTCAGGCTCGGGCTTGAATGTGTTCTGTTAATAAAGAGGCAGAGCGTGGCGCAAAGCTAGCCCAGCTCAGCCCATGAACAGTCCAACCTCAACTAATTCCAAGTGAAAACAAATACCTGGAAAACTATAAGGTTGTGTCTGGTTTGAAAGAAAAGGTAGGAAAAGGAAGGGATTCCATACCTTTTTTTTCAACCAAACACAGCTTCACTATAATTCATTTTCCTATTGAGCATCGTTTTCCAAGCAAATCATTCATTTTCCTCATTTGACGTACAATTAAACAGAGCCCTAGTCAAACACCCTAACAGGAGCTTAATGAAAAAGTACAGACAGGCCCAATGCAGATTTTTGAATTTCACTGCAGATCTATAAACATTCAAAATGTCAAATACCCCCACTCTATACACCAATGCCTGCCCATGAATTGGCATCAATTCCGAGTTAGCACCTATCCCAACTGTACTTTAGGCCTAAAAATTCTGACCCTGGGCTGAACTGTCATTCTCCCTAACCATAATCCATTTCCCTATTGAGCATCATTTTCCTCTTTTGACATACAATTAAACAGAGCTCTAGACTTTTGTTAAGATGAGGGATTTCTTAATTATTATAACAGATAGAACAAGATTCTAACTGAAAAAAGGAAAATTCTCAATCAATTTCCCCCATTAAGTCTTAATCTGTTGTGAAATTCTTAACTCAAAAGCCTAAGATAGGGAAAGAAACATAAATCCCTACATACTATAACTGTCAATAACAAAAACAGTACACGAATTTCATTTCTCAAGTCATTTGGTAATCCAATTGTACCATTTCCTGATGTGTATCAGATCCCGAGCTTCTTCAATATATAAAAGCATGGCATTACCTGAGATCACCATGTTTCTGGGAGGAAATCAGCATAGCTCTCCAACTGGGGTTCATTGGAAGCATATTAGTCCATTTCCTATGGAAAAAGTTCACTCTGTCACGCACAAGGAGATCAAACAGCAAAGAAGATGACTTCACAAGTCAACTTCAGATTGGTGTAAAACTTGGCCTCTCCTACAAAGCAAGCATTGGTTGCTCCAGTTTGCTATTAGTAAGCCATTGCCTCTTGCTTCTGATGCTACTGAATGGAAATGGAACCCATTGCAGATTTACAAACTTAGTCCTTCTGGGAGAAATCATGCAAGTGGTATCATGGTCAACGGCATTAGTTGTGGTATTCAATACACAGAAAGCAAGATCCATGATGCTTCCCTGGAATGTAAGAATCTGGTGGATTTATAGCTTCTTGCACTCCATTATCTGCACTGCTCTTGATATATATTACATTCTTAGGAACCATGGGTCTCCAGGAATCGGAGACTACATTGCCTTCCTTGATCTCCCTGCCTCCACCTGCCTGTTAGGGATATCGATCAGAGGGGCCACAGGCATCTCATTCTTTGAAACTGGCATTACAAACCCACTTCTCAATGTTAAAACTGAAAAGCATGCAGAAGAAAATAGGGAATCTCCATATGGAAAAGCTACACCTCTCCAACGTATCACCTTCTCATGGCTCAATCCACTGTTTGAAGTCGGGAACAAGAGACCCCTTGAACAAGAAGAGATCCCTGACATAGATATCAGAGACTCGGCCGGATTCCTCTCCTGCTTGTTCAATGACAGTCTAAATTGTGTCAAAAATATGGATGCTACAACAAACCCATCTATATACAAAGCAATCTTTCTATTTATCTGGAAAAAAGCAGCAACCAATGCATTGTTTGCAATGATTGGTGCGGTAGCATCATGTATCGGGCCGTACTTGATTGACGACCTTGTGAAGTTCCTGAGTGGAAAGAAGCAGCAACACAGCTTGAGTGGGTACCTTCTTGCATTAGCCTTCCTGAGTTCCAAAGTCATCGAGACAGTGGCTCAGAGACAATGGATCTTTGGGGCCTACCAGCTAGGCCTTCGCCTGAGAGTGGCTCTGATATCACAAATTTATAAAAAGGGCCTGTATCTATCAAGTGAATCCCGCCAAAGCCATGCCAGTGGAGAGATCATCAACTATATGAGTGTTGATCTCCAACGTATTGTGGACGTCATGTATTTAATGAACATAATCTGGATGTTGCCCATACAAATTTCTCTGGCAATTTACATTTTAAGCAACAACCTGGGTCTTCTTGGCTCTCTGGCGGCATTAGCAGCAATGGTGATTATATTAGCCATTAACATACCCAATACAAAGATCCAAAGGAGGTTACAGTCAAAGATGATGGAGGCCAAGGACAGCAGAATGAAAGCCACAGCTGAGGTTCTTCGAAATATGAGGACTCTGAAACTTCAAGCCTGGGAAACTCGATTCCTTCACAATCTTGAAAGCTTGAGAAAGATCGAGTACATATTGATATGGAAAGCACGCAGTTCGGCAGCAATCTCATCTTTTCTCTTCTGGGGATCCCCTTCCTTCATCTCAATAATGGCCTTTGGGACATGTATACCAATGGGGATCCCATTCACAGCTGGGAAAGTTTTATCTGCGCTGGCAACCTTCCGGATGTTACAGTACCCATTGTTCAATTTATCCGATTTGCTATCAGCAGCTGCACAAGCCAAAGTTTCAATCGACAGAGTCACTTCGTACCTCCAGCAAGGTGAAGTTCAAATGGATGCAGTCTTGTTTGCTCCAAAAGATGAGTCAGAGTTCGATATCGAGATTAGCGCTGGAAAGTTCAGCTGGAATCCAGAGTCAAGAATCCCAACTCTTGACGGAATAGAGTTGAAAGTGAAGGGAGGGATGAAAGTAGCAATCTGTGGAACTGTAGGATCAGGGAAATCTAGTCTTCTCTCAAGCATACTTGGAGATATAATGAAGTTGTCAGGAACAGTGAAGATCAGTGGGACAAAGGCTTACGTTCCTCAGTCTCCATGGATATTGACAGGAACGATCAGAGAGAATATCCTTTTTGGAAATCCATTTGACAGTGTCAGGTATGACAGAACAGTTAAAGCATGTGCTTTGATGAAGGATTTCCAGCTCTTTCCCTGTGGTGACTTGACAGAAATCGGAGAAAGAGGTATCAACATGAGTGGTGGCCAGAAGCAAAGAATACAAATTGCACGTGCAGCCTACCAGGATGCTGACATATATCTTCTTGATGACCCTTTCAGTGCTGTGGATGCTCATACAGGGACTCAACTCTTTCAGGTAAATCCTAATTGAACTGTTACTGTCGCTGAACAGTAGATTCTGATTCAATTGGTGTAGAGATTTCTTAACAAAATTACATTCAACTCAAACAACAAAGTTCTCAAAAAAAATGTAACAAATCCTTCAAATTTCAAGAATACCTGGGCATATAAAAATACATGGAAATGACGAGGGAAAACCTATTTTGGGGGGCCATGCAAGTTCAACAAGTAAATCTGTAGCCATGTCTAAAGCCTGGGTAATATAGTTCATAAATATCTAACCAATCATAYGCTTATAAATGGGGTTCAAAGATGATTTCCCTGTAATCCAAAGACGAGCTTCAAATCTTGATTTTGATTTAGAAAGATGCCAACTATTCTTCTGATTTCATTTACAAATTCAGATCAGACAAGAGCTTACCATTGAGCTTTGCCTATCCCATGCAGGAATGCCTGATGRGGATCCTCAAAGAAAAGACAATACTTTATGTCACCCACCAAGTCGAGTTTCTACCTGCAGCAGACCTCATTCTGGTATACAAGAGGCACCATAACTTCCCATCCATTTTCTAGCTTTAATGAAAAAAGTGTTARATCAGAAATTAATAGAGTCTTTAACAGGTTCTGCAAGATGGAAGGATCACACAAGCTGGAACKTTTGATGAACTTCTAAGACAGAATACAGGATTTGATGCATTAGTAGGTGCACACAACCAAGCTCTGGAATCAATCTTCACAGTCCAAAAGTCAAGTAGAACATGTGAAAAACCTCTATCCGATGGTGAAGCTGATACAGAATCCAGAATAAATCCAGAGCTTCAACTAAATGGTAAGCATGATCCTAGACATAACCTTTCAAATGACATAACCAGAAAAGGAGGAAGACTGACACAGGATGAAGAGAGAGAGAAAGGAAGCATTCGGAAAGAAGTTTACTGGTCTTATTTGACCACAGTGTGGGCAGGGGCCTTTGTCCCACTCATAATCTTGGCACAGTTGCTCTTCCTAGTACTACAGATAGCAAGTAATTATTGGATAACATGGGCTTCCCCTCTTACATCTGGGACTGAGCCAGCTATGGAGATAACCTTTCTATTWTTTGGGTATATACTTCTCTCAGTCGGCAGTTCAGTTTTTGCATTCGTTCGAGCCATGCTAGTAACAACCGCCGGCCTTCTAACATCACAGAAACTTTTCATCAACATGCTACATAGTGTACTCCGGGCTCCAATGGCATTCTTTGATTCAACCTCAACTGGGAGAATCCTGAATCGGGTTGGTAACATACAATAACTTATGTCTGGATGCTATGATACCCAGATACAGATACAAGGCATTGGATACAAAAGTTATGATAAAACATACAAGTATCCAACATGATAGAGCACCCATGTACAGGTATCAGGGTATCAGGATTGATGCATTTGAAGACTCCAAATGAAAAGTATATAAATGCCTTTGTTTCAGCAATTATATAAGTCTGAGAGCTTTCAATGAAGCAAACTTAACAAAACGAGAACAGTCTGTCTGAGAGATTCCTTTTCTTTCTTTATTTAAAGAAAAAATAAAAGCAACACCAAAGAATTGGAGAATCAGGTAACAGTATTCAGGCAAAATTTGGGCAAAAACAGAACTCCTATAAAAAGCAAACAAGAAAATGAAGTACAACTTCTCACACCAAGGAATCAAGTTCTATGTTGAAAATCCATAAATCAATAGATTATCCAAACTCATTAAGTTTTGTGAGGTTGAAAAAGGATAACCAAAAAACAAAAAAGATATGCAGCTGCAAACTAGAAGATCATTAGATTTGTTCAAAAATAAACAGGGAATGGAAGAATGCCAGAAATTGGTCTTGACTTCAGCTATTAATTCACTACTAAAACCACAATATGGAATAGACTCCGAATCACATTTTCAACACTCTGCTGCTTTGATTGAAGGATGCAAACTTGTGTTAAATTTTCATTTCTTTATTTTTATTGTTAAATTCATAAACTACCAGAGGCAACAAAAAAAAATGACAAAAAGATTGAAAGAAAAAAAACACAAAAAAAAAAGAAAACGACATATTTTAAGTTCCCAGCAACCCAAAAGACCATAGAAAAAAACATCAAACACACAACCAGTGAGCCTGGAATTCAAAAAATAAAACATACACAATTAACGACCAACAACAAAGTCATCTAAAAAAGGAGCTTCCCCCACACAAAGCCCCAAATACACATAACCAAAACCACATCCCCACCTCCCAAACTCCTATGCACTTATTTCTTAGCAGCTCTACCTCGTAAGAACCTCCCCCTCCCCGTGCTAACTCTACCTACCACGCCTGCCCTTCACTTGTTCAACTATAAATATTCTTCACTCTTTTGAAATGAAGAAATAAATGAAGTTTCAAAGATCTTATTAAATCTTGAATTCCAAAATGCACCCACATCTAGGAGTGATTCCTAAACCTCTAGAGTGATTTTTGAGAAACCCTATACACA